TGTTTCCCCGGTAATGCTGTACACAAAGCAGCACTGCTGACAAACCTGCTTTATCAGGCATTACAGGCATGATGAAATGAAAATGAGACCAATTGGACCAATCACCGCAGATTAGCGTCACGCAAAGGATGGGTTTGGAAAAATGAATCATTGAGTGAATCGTTTGGGAGTCGTTGAGCAAGTAAGGTAAAAATAAATGCATATTATAAGACAATGAAAGTGTTTTTTGACCTTGAATGCATGTCAACCTGTTGTTGGGGACTCCCAAAACCAAAATATGAACCTTTCATTACCCATAATAGGGGCACTTTAAAATGTAATGTATTCCTGTAATTTTCAGCATCATTACTCCAGTCTTCAGTGACATGATCCTTCAGAAATAATTCTAATATGCTCATATATATTATAATATACATTCATAATAATTGTATTATTATTATTATATGTATTTGATATTTCTTATTTAGAGTTAGAAAAGCAGCTACACTCACGTTTGATGTTTGTCGAAGAATATGAAGTGCCAGGAACAATCTTCAGAAATAAATGTCAGTTTTATGTCATTTTTTATCACTCTGTAGGACTTGATTAGATTTCTGCCTGTGCTGCACAGATGATGTGAACAATAAGCTATGTTAAGTAACCACAACAAAATGCTCCGCCTGCCTCTTATCTGCAGACAAGCAGCACTGCATATGTTAGTTAGACAGTAGTAAATCAGGCCGCTGAAAGCCAACTCAGACCCTTAAATTACTGTTGATGCCTATACGGCCGCCGGGCCAGACGCATTATACACATTACAGTTTACACAGTGCTGGACGTGATGAAGAGTGTGTAGCTGCATTTAAAGTCTGCTGGCTTGAGTTAGAGTCTATTAAAAAGAAAAAGAGTCCATTTATATTTAAAGACTGCCATCTGCTGGTCATTAAAGCTTTCTATATTACAGTAAATAATCTTGGCCTACTAAATTAGGGTGCAATCAATCCCTCAGTAGGGCGCTAATGCACAATCACCTTATTTATTGGATTTTGTGATTGGTTTGGATGGCAATCAACCTCACTGGACCTTTTCAGACCTGAAAACGTCATCGCAGATAGATTGTCAGCATGTAGCTATGTGGCCAATAAAAGCCCTAAAATAATACATGCGCAAAGGTTTGGTTGCATTCAGAGAAATAAAACATTTGAATACATATTCCCAGTGTTTATGAAGTGGACAGAGGAATAAATATACAAAAAAACTATTTATACATCAATATTCATGAGGATCCCTCAGCTTTGTGGAACGTTAATGTAAACATAAACAAAGCCTAATCTTCTGAATTACACACAGGAATAGCAGAGCAGATTACTGCTGGCCAGTATCTAATTAATAAATCATCAATGAATTAATTACATATTATGCATTAATTAGGTGGTAGAGAAGCGCTCATGTGTACTTCAAATCACTGCTCACTTGTTCTATTTCTCATTAGCAGTGTGGAACGATGTGTTTTGGTGCTGGGATAATGGTTCAGGGTAATGACTCCCCTTTGCAGGATGTCTCTGTTGAAATACACTCTAATTTTGTCCTGCGCTGCTCTCTGTAAAACATTGATTTACAGACATCTGCCATATCCACACGGGTCTTACAAACAGATAAATTATTCATTTGATATTATTCTGTATGCTTTATTTATGTTCTTTAATGAAGAGCCCAATGTGATTTCCTCAAAGAAACTAGATACAGTAAGGTACAGATTTGATATGAATGCTAAATTGGCTTTACACAGTTAGGCTACTTGTTGATTTTATTAAGAGTTAAGAGTTAACCACGGGAGTAAATGGGCAAGCTTTTGCTCATGTGTTAACCTGCTCAAATTATGAACAATGAACAGACTGCTGATATTGTTATATTGTACCATTATAAGGAACCCTAAATCCACTGTTTTCAAACACTTTTCTCATTCTCACCCAAATATAGTGGCTCCTCCATGTGGCGAAACTAGTATGAAATAGCCATAAAACACTACTGAATTATATTGTCATCATACTCAGAGAAGAGGTTAAAAGGGGCGAGCTTAGTTTCAGATTATTGAGGATTTATTTAAAAATGAAAATGAATTTCAAACATTTAAGTCATTGAAAAGGTTTACTGAGTTGTAGGCCTATATGAACGTAAACTATCAAATGCATTAAAATACTGATGCTTTGTTTTAATTAAAATTGGACAGTATGTCATTTGAATTGCCAGTCAACAAATACATTGACTTTTTTTTTTGTCATGTGCAACAATACAGAATAGCAGTAGTTAATGCCAGTAAAAGTTCTACATTTATGAGATCTGAGAATTTTATGAAGAATGAGAACAATTTATGATTAAAACATAACTGAAGTTTAACATTTACAATATTACAATATAATCAAAATGAGAGCAAGATTAGCGTCACGCAAAGGAGGGGGTTGGAAAAATTAATCGTTGAGTGAATCGTTTGGGAGTCCTTGAGCAAGTATGGTAAACATAAATGCATAGTATAAGACAATGAAAGTGTTTTTTGACCTTGCATGCATGTCAACCTGTTGTTGGGGACTCCCAAAACCAAAATATGAACCTTTCATTACCCATAATAGGGGCACTTTAATTATTAGTGTATGTATATATAATATATAGTCTTTTATAATTAGGTTACTTACACTTTAGAAATATTGTCTAATGATATGCATTTCCGTTTTCTCACTTTTTCAATCTCTTAACCTTCATGAACAAATGTCATTTTCACATTTCAAAATTATATTTCATGTTGTGGAGAAAAAGCCGGTAACAGAAATAGACACTTCTTCTTTGTCATGTCAAATTTAGAGTTGTATGTATGCTAAGTACACATAATTTACACCTTACACACGCATAATTTGACCAAACTGCAGCTAGACATGACACTCACTAAAACATTCTGTTCTCAAGAGAGATTGAAAGTATGGGATTGAAGGTATTTTACATTCGCAGCAGTATAACATTTCACCTGACACTCATCCATTCATCCAACCAATAAACAAACAAAACAAGGGCGTTTGGTCTTTGCGTAACTCACACAGCGTCTGCGCAAACCTCAGCGCAGCCACGACGCGCCGGGCGCACGGCGCGCTTGGTTAAATGACGTCACTGTGTCATGTCGACGGGCAGCGTGCGCCATCTTGAAGCGAAACCAAATCACGGGCAGATCCCGCTCGCCTCCGCTCGCTCTCATTCCGCGCTCGTTCGCACCGTCCGCCCAGACAGGCGATGATGGCAGGTAAACGCGCCGCGCGGGGGATTTGTGTTGGTAGGCGGGGGCGCAAGCGGCAGCAGTGCGGCCTAAACATCAAACCAGCCCCCTTAACTGACACTAAATCAAACCCACATCCACTGCTCTATCTCAGTATGCATGCTCGGGCTGGCAGGGCTCTGACTCCTGCGTGATGAAATGCTTCTGGGAGGCTGATCTGAGCATGCATTTCAATGCACTTGTGTTGTTGTTGTTGTCACGATTAGTACCAGTTGTGCTTAGAGTAGGAGCTAGGTTGGTTCTCGAAAAAGGCAGTCCGGTACTAAAATCGCACCCAGTTCCAGCGGTGCGAAAACGCCAAAAAGTGGGTAGTTCCACAATTAGTTCTGGTACTATGAAAAGGTTCCCGCGGTGCGAAAGGCCCTATTGTGTGTATTTTTAGCGGACCTTCAGACTGTGTGCTTGCAGGATGCAATCATAGAATTAAATGTGCTCTGACTTTCTCACACTCGGCATAATAAACAGCTCTGAGATAGTAATTCCTAAGTGTGAAGACTTCCGGTTTTCTCTGCACTTTCTAGTGGAGGTTTTGTGTTTTTGCCGGTTTTGTGTGTTTTAGAGCAGGAAACTGAGCATAAGCTGTTCTTATAGCCTTTTTAACTTGTTGGAATTTATTGGAATAAATGTGCAAAATAGGGTTCATATTGACTCTCTTTTGTTTGTTTGACTCATCAATTAGGTATAAATAAGGTGTTTTGCGCAGTGGTATACCAGACTTTAGTGCAAAAATAAAAGTATGCAAAAATATACCTTGAAACAAAGGCCATTGTTATCATGTAGATTCATTTTTACAAAGTTTTTATTATTTAAAGTTTGTATTACTCATTTTATAAAAACAATTTTTAAAAATGCTTAATTTTTTATTTTAGATTTTTTTTAAATATATAAAAAAATGTCTTAAATGCTTTTATAAATGTTTTTTTATATATATTTTTTAATTCCTGTGTTATTTAAATTTCAATAAAAAATATAGAGTAATAAATGTAATACAACCATTTGTGTGAAAATGTTATTCTTATAAGACTTTTTTCTATTTCTATTTAAATAGAATTTTCAATTTTATGTTTACATTTATTCTTATTTTATTTATTTTTTTAATAAATTGTATGTATGTGTGTTTTATATAATGTAGTATGTATGTGTGTGTGTGTGTGCACATATATATTTTTAAATATATATGTAATTGTATAAATTTCAATAGCAATGATTTTATAGTAGTACCAATATTTTTCTACGTTTGTTTTAACCATTTAAAAACCATAAAAAAATCTGCAGTTATCTGAAATTAGTAATTTTATTAAATTTGTTATTTGTAAATAGTTATAAAATATACAGTGTGTAGATAGAGAGAGAGAGATGTAAGTATGTATATAGTCAATAACATTTTGCAGTATATATTTGTGCAGAATTGTCATAGATATTATGTAAAGTTTATTTTTTTTATTATGTTTAGTTGCTTGTGTGCGGTTTCTCTACCCCTGAAAGACATTCAAACAGGAAGTGTCATTTGTTTGTGGGAAGGACTGCACTGCAAACTCCCTCAAAGTTATATGTGGATGTTTATAAGGCCGTAATTCCTTCAGGATCTCACATGAAGGGTTGGTGTCATGTGTGGAGGGATTCCCTCACGATCTTACCTGTCCAACATGGCCGCGTGGCACCCCTCGCTCAGCCTCCCTGTGGGCGAGCCAGCGCTGTCCATACCGCAGCTACTCCCAGGCTCTTAAATCTTCCTCTGCTGTCTTGTGTGCGCTGCTGACAGCCACAGCCTGGAACTGTGCTATAATGGCCTCTCTCTACCTTTCAGGATGGGTATGTGTGCGTTTATCTCCGTCTGCCTCTCACACCGGGTGCTCCGCTTGTTTTTGAGCTTTTTCCTAGCGCTAACGGACTCCTCTGTGATGTAACGTGTTGTTTGGGTTACTGTAGGATGCTGTAATTTGATCTGGTTTTGGGAGGTGCTGATGTTATGTTGCTGTAGGTTGTGGCTGATGTCCGATGTGGATGTTAAACGTTAATATTTGCTTGGAGGGTTTATTTACGAGGTGGTCACCGTCCGTCATGTACCTGCCTACGCTTCCCCCGCTGCTGCTGCGGTTGTTTTGGTTTGTGTTGTGATACAGTACAGTGGTGTTTCCTCTCTATCTGTACTTGTGTCGTCTTCAGATGCACATCACAGGATGAAAAATCAGGATAGTTAATGACCATGTCTCTTCATGCTCAATTGAATTTCACAAAAAACATGTCCAAGTCACCAAAATTAAGGGGGGAAAAATAGTGCATATATTTTTGCAGAAATAAAATGAAGCACTGATTTTAGAACCGATAAGATGTTTTCAATTTGTACATTATGATAATTAAACCATAATTAAGCAGTCATTACTGTAAGAAGACGATAAACAGGGATTAAAGTGTTCCGTCGCTACGACGGATTTCCGTCAGTTCATAAAGACAGTCACTTGCTTCATTCCTGAATGATTCAGCCGTTCCAACGAATCAATTGAATGAATGACTCGGTGATAAAATCAGTGACTTGCCGGCACCTGCTGGCAGATTTAGTTTCATTTTTAGCGTATAATTTCAGTTATTTAAATCAT